GGGTGGGGGGGTGGGAGGGTAGGAAATGTGGACAAGGTGCCCCACCTTCCCAGCTGAGCAATAACTCGATGCCCATTCTGATGGGAAACCCATGCTCAGCCCAGGCTTGAGGCGTTGCCCAGATGCCAGGTTGGGAAGAGTTGCTTAGGGCTTACAGAATACCTGCTCCCACAGCAGGGCTGCTCAACTAGCATCGTTCTCCAAAAAGGCAGGGGAAGGCCTGCCACAGGCTGCTTCTTTGTGTTCCTCTGTTTTGAGCACAGGAGCATTTGAGCTCAGCTCTTTAAATTTGGCTGAAAGATATTCCAAAAAGTTGGCCACAGCATCTTTTCCTGAGAATTGATCTATGGACTCAGCAAAAAGGATTAATAGGACCTTAAATGACCTGAAAGGACACCCTACATTCAAAAAGACTGCAAGGCAGTTCTCAGCAAAGCACATCCCAGGAAGGGATGGCTTAGCTTCAAGATCCTCTGGATGTGGGCTGCCTAAGGCTCAAGGGTGTCACTTCAATGCCAGGGGCCCCAGAGACACTTCATCAACCTGTCCTTGTTTGTGACTTGAGTTAACAGGGCCATCTGAATATATATATATATATATATTTTTTTTTTTCTTCTTCTTCTTCTCCCCAAAGCGCCCCCAGTACATAGTTGTACATTCTAGTTGTAGGTCCTTCTGGTTGTGCTATGTGGGACGCTGCCTCAGCATGGCCTGATGAGTGGTGCCATGTCCGTGCCCAGGATCTGAACCAGCGAAACCCTGGGCCGCTGAAGCAGAACACGCAAACTTAACCACTCGGCCACGGGGCCGGACCCAATGTGACTATTCTCACTTCCGGATATTGAGTTCAAAATCAGAGTCCTGTTAGGACAATGAGGAGGCCACTATGCTCTCCATCTATGTTACTGTAGATGGCAGCTACACCCTCAAGGTGAAATTTCACAGCCTAAGTCATCATTGCAAAAGGCTAACCTCTCTACTCCCACAAAGAAGAGGAAAAATATTCTTGAGCTGGGTACCGATGAAAACATGGACAATTCTATCACAGCACAGGACATATGGACCTTAACAAGCCTGATTCCTTTATCCCAAGTTCATGGTAGCCTAAGGAAGATTAGGCCGCTGTTGGTGACCCATGAAGCAAAAATGATGTGCTTCTCCAAGAACTTGGGCACCAGGTTGTCCTCAGACAGTTAGACTAGCAAAACCTGCACACACAATGGGTTTGACTAGAATTCAGCAGGAGTAAACCAAGACAGCGACTGAAGAATTTGGAGATACCCTGAATCTTCCCATCAAAGTGATTCAACTGTAATATCAGGGAGGTAGAAATAGAGTGTGACCATGACTTTAAAAGTATAAATCTGTCTAGTTGGCTGCATAGGATGCTGGGTGGAGAAACTGGTTTGAAGAGACCACCACACGCAAAAAAAAAAAGCCCAAAGTCTCAGAAGCTGGCAGGGCCATCTACGCAGGGAAGGGTGGGGTAGGTGGTAGCCTTACTCTTTCAGGACATTGGTGTCAGGAATATTTCTCTTGTAGACCACACGACTAACTCCATTTATTCTAACGCCAGGCTAGCTGAGCAAACATCTGGATGGAATTTGTCTTCTCATGTACATTGATCTACAAAGAGAGACTGTGCTTGCCATAACATGAGTATTCCAGTCTGCCAGTCATCATTCAGGTATGTACATCAGTCTCTGGAGTCTGGTTAATGTGAGTCCACTTGAGGAAGATCAGGATCCGGGCCTTGATGAATATTGTGACATTTGTGGTAAACAAGTCAGCTGGAGATACGCTTCCACTCACTCTGTGCACAGTAATGTCAAAGGGGTACACAACGTGCCCACCCTCTGCACTGTTAGCATTTGTATATGACCAACTGTAGGTCTCAACAGTCTCAATGATAGCCTAGTAAAATAATTTTTTAAAGCAATGAAATAAAGTAATACTTAAGAAAATACATTGGGTTTTGATGAGAATTGTATTTTTGAAATTCCAGCATCCTATTGATTTTTCTGAAGTAATTTCTAAGGCAGGGCCTCTTTGAAAATTGTTTCCAATTTTTCATTTTCTTTTCAAATTATGTCACTCAGCAGCTTCACCGGACCCAAACCTGACAAGGGTTTTCATATCCCATAGTAAGAAGACCAAAAGAACCAGGCACACTGCGAAGGAAGAATGCTTGCCCAGAGTGGACCCAAACAAGGAGATCTGGGCTGCATCTTCCCTTCCTCCAGGCCCCAAAGGATCTAAATTTAGTTTACTGGGTATACTGCAATGACATTAACATGTTGCAAGAACAAGAATCAAGCAAAAGAGAAAAAAAGAAGCTTAATGTGGTGCGAGGTATTTTAATGCCATGGCAACTATGATGTCTTCCCTATTATTTAATTCACTTCCTCAGGTCAGGTTATTCTGCCCTCTCTCTCCTGCACTTCCTGTTGCCGTAATCAAATCAGGTCGCCCTGAATTCGTGAGTCCTCTTCATGGCTGCAGTCATGTCTATTTCCAGCAGAATGAATTTTCTCCGTCTCTTCCTTTGCTCCCAGACCTTTATTTGGTGCCCTTGATGTTCCCGGTTGCTCTTCGCTGTGCTCCACACGCTGTAAATGCTTCCCTTTCATCCATATCTCCTCCCCCACACCCTTCTCCTTCTTGCTGCTCCTCTCTCTGCCCCTCCCTCCAGCTTCTGCAGTTGTCACTAACACAGTTAGCCACTTGATTAGTGACTCAGAGATTCAGAAGCCAAGGACCTTGGTTCTCCCGAAAGGCCCGTGCCTCTCCTCCTAGAGTAAGATAAAGTCCCTCCCTCACCCCAGATCTCAGTGCTATTGGGTAGAGATGACTCTGGGACTTGAATATTCCATCTGCTAGAGTTGCCCCGGCTTCCTCCCCTTTCCCTTTTCTGTGCATATCCTGGGGCTCTTCATGCTCTGTTTAACTTTTCCCAGGAAAGGTGGGCAGAGAAGGTTTGGGCTCAGAATTTTTGTAGCCCTACCTCCTCATTTGCAAGTGGGGAGACTGAGGTACAGAGAGCTTAACCGACTAGCTGCATGGCTAGTTCTTGGAGCAACCAAAACAAATAGGGTGAAAACCCAATCACATTGGTGAGTTTGGTAGGAAAAAAATCTTGTTAAGGGGTGAGCAGTGCCAAAATAAGACTTGAAGATTATTGACGAGTTCCTTCACTCCTTCCGTCCTTGTCTCCCTGCTGGCAGTGTAAGGAGACCATCAAAGCAGAGTCTGGACACCAGCCACAGATCCACTGGGACACCTAGAGAGGCGCCTGTTTCCCCTCGGAAAGCCGCCTGGGCTCCTCCAGCCCCTATCAGCAGGGCAGGATGAGGGGTCAGTGACAGCCAGCACTAGTGGATTCCACGAGTGCCACATCCACTAGGTTTTTCGCAACTTGCCAGTGCGTATAGTGGTGAGTTGACAGAATTGTTTCCCCTAAATGTAGGAAGGTGCATAAAATACAAGATGCCTATATAAATATATTTATTGCAAAAGTTATATCAGTCTCATAAGTAAGCACCAGCCTTCTCTGGGGAAAGACATGGGTGGTAAAAATGAATAAAATAACTCAGTATTTTGACTGCTTGCTGCAGTGGAAGAGGGACTTATGTTTCCCAAGATAAGTGTGAAGAGAGGGATATATCTTTGGATGCAAAGGAAGCAAGTCAGAGCTTCTTAGAAAAGCCACTCCTGGGTGTGCGCGTGGAAGCAAGTCCCACCCCCGGCAGGGCCTGGCTGTTGGATGTCCTGCAGCCTCTTTCCTCCCTGGGAGGGCTTGTTCTGGCGCGTTGGGATCTGCTGAGTTAGGAGCTGAGCTGTGCTGCTGCTGCTGCACAGTGTGATTAAGAGCTTTATTGATTTTTCGAGCCCATGACCACATTGGTGGGGACAGAGTACGACAGAGGAGAATGGCAGGAAGCCAAGTGGAAAGAGGGTTTATGAAATGAGCTCTCAATGAAGAAAACTGTGGGAAAGAATGCGATGGAAGCAGATTTGGGGCCAGTAGATGTGGGAAAGCAGAGCAACTCAAAAACGCTCTTCAGACTCGCGCTGAAACAAAGCACTTTGCCAAAACACAGGAAGAGGATCCCGTCTGTGAGAAAGACTCAGCTCTGTTTATATAAAACAGAACATTCCTCTCTGCAAAAGCATCCTTGACAACGATTACCCTTCATTCGGTACCAGGCACTGTGTTGGGTCCTGGGGCAAGAAATAAGAATCAGTCTAGAGAGGCGGACTGAAAAATACGCACAATCATTTGTAAAAATGTAAATATATCTGAAGGGAGCCATAAAAACATTTTGCCTAAACTTTGGGCCCAGAGCCAGACGGAATCAATAGAGGCGGAAGGGGGACAGGACTGTGTCCCAGCTGCTGCCTGCCTCATGTGCAAATCTGATGGACGTTCTCTGGAGCTTTCCTTCCCATCACTGTCCATTCTGGCAGGAAGACCCTGGTCACTTCCCATCCCACCCATTACGGGTCCAGAGGAGGCCTGCTTCAGTGATGGCAGCTGCGTGCAGGGATCCAGGTGTTCTCACAGTAGCAGGTGGAAAAGGGGCACTTGACGGTTTCGGTGTGCAGCGCAGGCTGGGAAAACCTCAGAGCACCAAGGGGATGGTTGGACATTCTCCTCTGATCCTAAAGTTAGGGGCAGGACACTTGTGACATGACTCCTCCTCCTGCCCCCACATACCCACTCACCATGAATTTATGTCTCTGTGGTTCCAACTGTGTGATTTGAGGGGAGAATTCTTCCAACCTACCTTCTCCCTGCCTCAGCTCCCTTTGAATAAAGGAATAAATTCTTTTTTCTTCCTTTAGCTTTCAGCATCTTTTTTCCCCCTGAAAATAAACTGGAAACTGAGGAAGAAGGTGGGTATCTGGTGTGTTTTGGGCATCAGTGTAATATGTAAAGGAAGAGATGATATGTTAAAAAAGGAGCAAATAAGAATATCATGTAACTCAAAACCAGCGAGTGATCAAGCTCAGTACATGACGGCACATTTTGTTTTAATCAGAAATAAAATCCTGTTTCTGTGGTGCACGTTTGAAAATGATGCAACCTGAAGCGGCTCCTTCACCTTCCACTGTGGGAACACCTTGTCCGTGTAGCTTTGAGGACTGCACCTGGAGGATTTTAAGGAGGTTAAACTTAAGCCAGAAGGCTTCAGAGGGGTGTAGACTAAGCTGGGCGGGGGGGGGCTCAGAGTGGTCTCGCCTAAGCTGGAGGGACCTTATCCCAGTATAGCCTAAGCCTCTTATCTCCGGGAGGAGGAATTCAGGCTGGCAGGTGAGCAGTAGGAGAACGCAAGTCTTCTAACTCCTGGTCCAGGGCCCTTCTCTGTCTTTCCAAAACAGTCAGAAGGGGTTGAAATTCCCGGCAGGATATGGCACAAATGTCTGTAACATTGTTCTCTTTTTCACAGAGGAAAACTGAATTTAAGAAGAAACTCATAATACTCGATAAAAAATACCTGGCATTTGAGCGCAGAGCCAAAAGCAGGGCGTGGTCTCTGGGGGGCTAGAAGTACTTTGAAATCCCCAAAGTCCCATTTCAGTTCAGTTCAGAAAACAAAATGGAACAACTTTCTTTTTCTCCCTCCCGTCCCCTCCCCCGTGCAGTAGCTGTTCTTGGCAGATGCCCAGAGCAGCACCGGGTAATTCCACGGTACATTGTGTACATTTGCATCCATTTAACCGGCTATTTACAGTCGCCCTTTACCGCCACCTGTAAGAGGCAACGCCATAATGACACTAAGTGGCTAGGCTGGGAACGGGGCGCCTCGTGATTTTCTCCACTTGAAGAGCCCGATTCCGTGGAGTGGTTGGCACTTGGAGAAACAGGGAGACAGCTGGGGACATCACACGTACAGGGCGGGAGGCGCGAGGAGGCGCGCCAGACGGAGGGTCCTTCCTCGTTAGCTCCACTCGGTGGCTCCTTTTCCATTACCACCACCGCGAGGAGGAACCTGCCGGGCCTTCCGCGCGGCTTGTTTCCTGCCTGAGAAAGAGCCCGCTGCCATTTGGATTTGCTGAATTTCTGAATCACCCGAGACGCCCGGCGGTCCCGAGGAGGGTGGGACGCGGCGCGCTGGGGTGGGAGCCGCACGCCGGCGGAATCGGGGCTGGAGGACACCCCCTTGAGTCTGGGATACCTGCTCGCGGATGTGATGCGGCGACGCGGGGACACCTGCGCTCCGGTGCGTGCCGCACTCGTGCAGCTCCGGGTGGCAAACGGGGTGAAGTGGAGGCGAGGGCAAGAGGAAGTTGAGGCGCCGGGGCGTCGGAGACGCTTCCTTACATTCCCTTTGCTCTTTGGAGGCTGTCCCGAGCGGGGCCGGCGGGCACTGCACGGCGGGCTTCCAAGTCGCCCCTGGCACAGTTGGAGGTCGGGAGTCCTAAGACCCCGGAGGACGGGTACCCCTTTGTCCCAAGTGCCCGCGGGAAGCCCGCGGCGCCCAGAACCGCGTGGCGCGCTCGGAGCGCACCGAGCGGCGAAGAAGCAAAAGATAAAGCCTGATGGGCCGGGGGCTGGTTGGCTGGCGCGCAGAGTCAGCGCGGGCCGGGAGCGCCTTTCGTTTTAAGGAGCCTTACTTCTGGGAAGGGACAGGGAACTGTCAATCAGCGAGGGAGGGAGCGCACCGGCGCTGGGTGATGTCAGCGGATCAGCTGCTCGATAACAAAGAGGGGGTATTACAGGAGAAAGTTGCAGCGGCGGCGGCGGCCACGGCGGCACCCCGGAGCCTCGGCGGCGAGGGGCAAGTGGGCGAAAGGAGGGGGGACGCTGCTGCCGCAGCAGCTGAAGGCCAAGGAATTGAAAGGGCTGTAGGGGGAGGCAGTGCGAGCCAGCCCCGACTGCTCCTCCTCTTCCTCCTCCTCCTCCAAACTCGCAGGGTTCAGCCCCAGCGCTCGCTCAGCCGCCGGGAGCACCCAGAGGGACGGGAGGCAGCGGCGCGGCCCCGAGCTGGGCAGGGACCCCAGCCGCCATGGATAGCGACGACGAAATGGTGGAGGAGGCGGTGGAAGGTACAAGCATTTCTCTGGGGCTGGGGAGGAGGCGCCGAGGGCTCGGAAGGCGGAAGGAGTGGCGGGCTGCGACCCGCGCGGCGCCGGGCCCCGCGGCCGCCACTGTCCCCTACGCGGGTGGCCCGTTGCCCGGCTCCGGCAGGGGCCAGTCCGCCGCGGCCACGCCGCCGGGAGCGCGCACTGCGCGGCGAGGCGCAGGCCGGGAACTGGGCTTCTCCGGGCTGGGGGGCCCCGGGAGGGCACGGCTGCTCCATCCCGCCTGGCCACCGCCTCCATCTGCTCTCGGAGTTGCGAAACCTGCCCCGCACTCTGGCCTTCCCCCTTTTGGGGATGGAAGGAGGGGGCTGCGCAGGAGGACATCCTCCTGAGACCCGCGGTCTCCGCGGAGCACCCCCCCCCACCCGCTTTTGGCAACCCCGAGCCCCTGTCCGGCAGCCAGCCCTTTCCTTCCGCTCACCGCTGCGACCTGCGGTGACCGCGGCCGCGTCCGGCTCGGTCCCCCGGCGCAGAGCACGGGGCCGAACCTGGCACGTGGCAGCAGCGGCCCGGGTGGCCGCTCCTCCGAAAAGATGAAATCATTGCAAGGCAATGGACGACGCTCCCGACCCGGGGCTTGAACGCGCGCCAACCGAGAGACGGGTGGCCCTCTCCTCTGCTGCCCCCGAGCGAACTCAGTCACACCGCCCCCTCCCCCTTCCTGCTTCCGAGCCGCCACGCGGTGCAGGCGCGCCGCAAGCCCGGGCCGAAATTGCTGGGTGACACTTAACTTTCTGAATTCCATGCAGTTGGCTGCGGGTGATATCACTGCCTTGGTGTCGTGTTTCTCCGCCCCTTCTCTTCTAGCGCCCCTCCCCCGACTTTTCTCGCCACTTTGTTTTGCTGAGTTTCTCCACCTCTTTTTTTTTTTTTTGCTAGTTCTAAAAAGCGAGGTGGAGACGTTATACAATCTCGTTGTTTGTATCATGGGATGTTATGATTTTGTAACAGTGAATCCTGGAAGATACTCTTTAGCGTGTTTATTTATTTGATTCTACCTCAGACAGTACGTCGTGATGTTTTGCAATGTTGTGTGGTATTGTTCCAGAATATTTTAAACTAAGCATCTAAGTAAATAATATTTAGCTTTTGGTTGAATCTGGTTTCCGTTTAATTTGTAGAAACAAATTCTCATGAATGGTAAAGAAAAACAAAGTGGCAACACTGTGCAAATGCATAAAGATACATAGTTATTGCTACTGTGGGAGAAGAAATCAATTTTTATATTTTCATAAAACATAATTGACTCCTTTTGTGGTACTCCTGGGGTCTTAGGATGAGATTAAGTGGAGGAATATTTCTGAATTCTCCAAAAGGTATCCTAATGTAAAGGTATATCTAATGTAACTATTAAAACATTTCTTTATCCAGCTTCAAAAAGGGTTTATTGTTCTTCTAATTTCACAGTGTTGTGAACTCATGGAACTATTTATTTATATTTAATAAGTATTTACTATTTACTTACTATTTAACAAGTAAAGCCAGTGTTGGGGTTTACTGAGACCCAAGACCATTATTTGAGTTGATCCATTGGAAGCCTTCTTAGTATTTAAGTTATTGACTTCTTGTGTCTTCATGTTATGAAAGATAAATGAAAAATGCTCTTCTCAAACTGTCAGGGCTTGCTTTCATTCTTCAAAGGTTACTTTTGCTTGTGAAAGTGTAATGCAAACCCTTGATCCTGGTCAGCGCTCCCCAGGTTAAACCATCTTCCCCTTTGAAGCTATCTAGAAACACAAGGCCGAGTTGTCCTTGGTCCCCAGGCTCGTTGCAGAATGTGAACAAGCAACTTTAGAAAAATATCAATGTTGTTTTTGAGCTTGTTCAATGGATAGAAACAGAGACACCTTTTATGTAAACAAGGAAGGTTCTGTTGTATAGGGTGACCATATGCATTATTGCCCCAAATCAGAACATGCCAGAGAGTGAGAGGAGTCCCTATTAATACTTATGCTGGGACAACTGGCTTAAGCCTGAATGTTTGGGGCAGTCCGGGACACATGGTCCCTCAGTTGTACCTAACAGTCAACAGTTATAGTAACACAGAATCTTTAAGTCCTCAGAGGCAGCTAAGGCTCAGACTTGCACAGTGTCTGGAGTATGCATGAGTGCTCGTAATCAACTGCACCAGTGGGCTTTTCTCCCGCCTTTCTTGGCCTTTTTAGTGCCATCTGTAATAGTCTTTAGTTAACATCCAACACATGCATGGGGACTGGTTTAAAACTAGCCTGAATATCTTGGTGTTTCAGTATCCACTAACCTACCTCTCTCCATAAACAAAGCCTCTGTTCTCAGTGGTTTCGTTGTCTTAGCTATTATTATCATTGCTGTAATTGTTTAGTTCTTATTTTGTACCGACTCTGTGCTAAATGTTTCACACATTCATTAGCCATTCAGTCTTATGAGGTGAGTACTAATATTATCCTGATTTTACAGAGGAGGGAACTGAGGCATAGAGAAGTTAAGAACTAATTTAAGGATACTCAGTGGGGTGGGAGATAGGCTTGGACCTCCAGAACTCCACTCCACCGAACCCAACTGTCTTCCTACATTTTTCTTATTTTTTATTTTTAATGAGTCAGTCAAATATATGAAATACTTGGTACCGGAATTTGAAAGCAACAGTTAAATATTATGTCAGTATCACTCTTTTTCAGTGGCAATTCTTTAGAGAGTTGGTTCTGATAGAGTTCAGTGACTTTCAGAAAAATGTATCTGGGGAAAGAATTTCACTCACAGCCTCTGCCACAGACATTCTTTTTCTTCCTCCTTAGAAATTTACTCTGGGGAAGAAATTGGTCTCTTTAGGACCTGGGTTTAAATGTCTTTTGTCACATCTTGTACGTTTTGGTTCTCTGTCAGGGTGGAACTGTAGCTTGAGTGAAGTTGGAAACTCAGAGTAGATGAATCCCCGAGGGGAGCTGGTGGTGGAGGGAGCGCTGTGTACGTGTGTTGGCTGCGCTCCTTTGGGAAGGCAGCAAGCCCTGGGCCTCAGAGGGCCTGGAAATTCCACCTGAGCTCCTGCTGCAGATTTTTAAAAGCTCTTTGAGGCTCATTGGTTCAGTGGGGAGTGGAGTTGAATTTCGGAACAGAAATATTTATTACTATATCTATTTCTTTGTCTACCCATAGGTACAAAGATGAATACAATGTGGTTCCTCATATAATTTCAAATAAATATAGCCTATCTAAACAGATGAATTATGGTGGTTGAGAGGAAGTGAAAATTACTTCCAGCTTGGGGCAGGAGACAGGGAAAGATTTCCCAGAAGAGGTGGTTTGGAGCTGAGTTGGGAGGGGAGCTTCGTAAGTAATGAGGTAGAGATATGGAATTATGCCGGCACATTCAGAGACGAATCACTCGGTTCTCCTGTAACAGAGGGCCAGAAGGAAAAAAGGGGAGCGTCAGACAGGGAAAGGAGTGTGTGTCACAGGCCAAGAGTGTGGACTTCGTGCTGGGAGCCACGGGAGGCCATGGGGCTCTTTAGAGCTGGGAATGGCAGCATTCGAGCTCTGCTCTGGGAAGATGAAGGTGGAAGTGAGCAGGTGAGGCCATCACCTAGGAGGCTCTTTGCAATAGTTCAAATGTGTGGTTATGAGAACAGAAAAATCTGGAAAAGCCTGGGAACATACAGGAGACACTCAGGAAGAATACTCAAAAGGGGAAATATCAGAATCCCCAGAACTAAGGAGCCAGGATAAAAACAAGAATTTCAGTGTTTCACTGCCTCAACCCTCTCAGAATATCAAGGATATTTTTAATAGTCCCCCTGACATCTTATCCTGCCCGTCTCTAATAAGACCGCTCATGCTCTGTGCTTAGGAAAAACGCATGCTAAGTGTCCTGGTAGCACCCTCGCTGTGTGGGCCACACGTGAAAATTATGACCCTCACAAGTAATAATTGAGCTCTTGCAAAGAATTACTCTCAAAAGTCAAACTATGTTTTTAACAACCAGTGTAAACGCATCATCATGAGGACATGTTCTTTGCACTAAACAAAATAAGCTTCCCTTTTATTATTATTTTTTTAAGCAGTTCTGTTCTGCAAAAGCAAGAATGCATGTAAGGATCTCTTGTTCTGAGGGAAACACACACAGACACACACACACACACACCCCACTCACCCCACTCACCCCATTCTCAGATCTCCTGTGAGTAAGCCTGAGGCAGTAAGCAGCCGGGTGTCTGATCCAGAGGGAATTTCCTTTCCAAGATGGGCCGTCACTGCCCAGAATACAGGCCTGGCTCTCATCAGGTTAAGGAAAAAGCTCAGAGGTAACTCGAGGGGAAAAATATAACTTTCTATCTATTGAGTAGGTAATGATTTTTAGAACAAAGTGAAAAAGTAGACTTGTGAGACCGTTACATTTTTTTTCCTTTCTCTGACTTCTATAAATACTTGAAATCATGCTGCAGACAGATAAACGGCACATGAGCTGGGACAGCATTATCAACACAGAGCAGTCATTCAAGTGACTTGTCCTTTGGGCCTGGTGTCCAACCTCTGTTTAGTGGGAACTGGCCTGGAAGGCTGTTGGCTGACTTGGCACATTTTGCAGATTGGCCCCAGTCAGAGCAAGGAGGACTAGCGTTTCTCTTTGAGTTAGGTAACACTTGGAAAGCATAGGAATTTGCAACCAGGATATGCTGTTGAAAGTCCTGGTGGTTCTATGAGAATTATTTTAACTACGAAGTTTCTTCCACTTCTCTCCCTGGGAGCTGGGCACACCTACCTCCTTAGGGGCACCTTCTTCCACCATCAGCAGGGAACAATGGGAGTCCTGCCAGTTCACCCTTATCTAGAGAGAAATGGAATTGGAAGATTTGAGGAAGGAGCTTTCACCATTTGTTAGCACATTCAGAGTGGTTAATGTGTTTCTTGGAGAAGTTGCAAAGTATTGGCTTCCTCTTCTGTAAGATTGCAACTTGGGAGATTGTTGTGATGTTTAATTTAGACAACAGGAGAGCACAGAACCCAGCGCCAGATGCATAGTAGGTGTGCAAAGTTTTTTCTTCTCTGTATACCAGTATCAACCTCCATCGAATTGACTGTTACTGACAAGACAAATATTACATAATCTTATTGTCCAAATGGCATTTGATCAAGAGTTGTACCAGAAGCTCTTCCAGCACTAATGTTGAAAAGAGATGTGAGAGCATGGCAACTCAATCTCTTCTCTTCCCTATAGTTCTTTCTTTGGGAAGTCTCTTTGTTATTGTTATTGTTTTGGTTGTGGCTACTATTTTAGATATCAAGTTCTACTGCTGGGACAGCCTCTCCAGGCTGTTAAATATTCAGGGTGGAAATCTTGAATGATCACACCCTTAATATCTAGCTCCAGTTAATTGAGCCTGTTAATCGATCCCATCCTGTTAATTGATCACCTAGTCCTCCTTTTGGAAGAAAAGAAAACAAACAAGCCAACCAGGGGGTCCTGCTGCGGTCTGAGAGAAGGAGATTTTAGTGTTTTCTCACCACAAGCAACCTAACACCTTTGAAATGGCTGGGAAATGTCATATGTCAAAGCAGCTCCTGCACACACGATGTCACCAGAGAAACAGCCGTCATTCAGCAGCTCCTCTGTTCCTCTGTCGCCCTACAGACTAAGAAAGTGATGGGACCGCTCTTCACCGGCCTGTTGAGAGAGGCATTGAAACAAGAATCCTTCATGGGGTGGGGTTCATATTTTTGCTTTCATCTCAGTTGGGATCAGCACTGTCCCTCAAGTGCTTTTAGTGTGTTAGAGGACACTTCCCACTTTCTCTAATATCTAAATTCCATTGCTGAGGGTGTACTTGCAGTGTTTTATTCAGAAAAAGGAGAGGACTATTGTGACTTAGGGAAGGTGGAAATGAATTGGCATTGGGTTTTTTTCCCTTAGTGTTCATGTTAGTCATAATATTTCTCTTGATCTAAAATAGAATAACAAGTTTTATCAAACACTAACTTTTTAAAGTCTGAAATATGTGAACTCATTCCTGAGGGAAAGCATTTTCAACACATTAGTAAATACTTCAATATAAGGCTAAAAGGATTATTCTGATATTTATACCTAAATCAAAAGTAGAATGCTAAGTTCATAGGAATGTTAATAGCTAAATGTAATTTGATCCCAACGATATTTCCTAAAAGCTTTTAGCTATACACTGAGTGGTTGTTTTTTTTTTTTTTATGAAGAGAAAAAAAGTAGGTTTAACTTATTTCATTGAGAGAAATGTCATCCGTAGATATTTGGAAAATAATTGTCCAAATTATTTCATTTGACTCAAGTGTCATTGAATTGTGTCAGGTACAGTTGATTTTTGAGCGAGAAGAAAGCAATTATGGCCTAGTTCTCTCCTAACCATTAATTTCCTGGCCCTTGGTAGAAAAAATTTGTATTAAGAGGAAAGGAATTTTACTGATTGTGATTTATTTAAGTAGCCACAATTTATTGTAATATTTTCTAGGTAACTCATTCTACACAGAGTCAGATGTAGCAATGAAACAGTGTTTTTGTTCATTGTTGTTTTATGTTCATGTAATCAATAATACAAATAGAGAGCTTTTTTGTTCTTTATAGGAGTGCTTACTTGCCATCTCTTCCAGGGAATGGTATTTTATCACTTTAAAAGAAATCATTTTAGGAGACTAAAGCATTCATTGTGGTGATATGGTCTGTGTTTTCTTTTATGTCTGTGAGCCATCTGGAAGCCACATTGAAGTATTTAATGTCCCTGCACTGCACACAGTGTTTAATGCTTTTATACCTTTTCATCCATGACCCAGGTCGTTAACCCAGGAAAAAGCCAGTAGATTATCTACTGCCTTCCTTTTCACCCACCTGTGCAGAATCAGCTCACCAGATTGATCAGGGAGACACCAGTGAGGTGATTTCTGGGTTTTGTGAAATATGCAGACAGTAATAAAAAGCCTAAACATTGACTGTAAACATAAATATTAGAAGATACCAGTCTGTGACCCAGGAAGAGCCAGCAATTTAAAGATCACAGAATAATACCTGCTGCTGGTGTTCAAAGTCGCTGCTTAAATGGCCATGTGGATACTTCCAGCTACATTTAAAACACCAGCCCTCTGAACACGGTGGTAGAGGGTATATGACAAGGTTATCACTAAACATTCAAAGCTGAAAGATTTTGTAAGATAAAGTTCAAGGCTAAGCTCAAGTTCAAGCTTAGAAGGACTCTGAGTCCATATATTAGTACGATGAGGCATATGAATATTAGGGCAGTTTTAGAGACCTGACTACGTCCCTTATTGTTTGAGTGTAACAGATAGCAGTGGGGTTTTCAGAAGTTACCTTGCTAGCAGTCCTCCACATCACACTACAGAGTGATATTGTATCATATTATCTTGTATACTTAGTTCTAGAATTAGGTAAGTTATTAAAAAAACAATGTATCTGGCAATAGACTATAAAACGGTGCTATCTCCACCAGATTTCTGTTAAGCATGAGAGTTTGGGGGCCTTAATTCCAAATATGAGAGGTACCATTTGGGAAAGTACTTGGTAAATTGAAATATGCACTGCAGATGTTATTACTGATAATAACTCTCAGTGCCCAGTTAAATGCAAGCTTATTTTTGGTTCATATTCTGAAATGTCTCTAAGTGCCTCTGTTGTGGACCTGTCCATTCACAAAGTGTGAGTAACAGTGAGGTTGATACTGCTGATGCAGGCAAGGCGAGGTGAGAAACCTTTGCATTCACTCTCCGCTCTGGCAGGGAAGGGTGCGTTGGCTGCTCAGGGGAATTACTGGCAGCATCTGAGCGCTGACGCATCAGTGGGGGAGCGTTGAAGATGTTAAAATTTGCCTTGGGTTCCCTTTCTCCAGGGCACCTGGATGATGATGGATTACCTCACGGGTTCTGCACAGTCACCTACTCCTCCACGGACAGATTCGAGGGGAACTTTGTTCACGGAGAAAAGAACGGACGGGGGAAGTTCTTCTTCTTTGATGGCAGGTAGCACTCACAGTTTTGTTTTGTTTTATTTGGGGGTTGGGGGCAGATTACCAAATTACTTTATTTGAAGAAATGATACAAATGAAAGAATATAAGCGGATGTTTTAGTACAACTTATAGAAAAGGTCAAAGTAACCCCAAAGTGCATGCACTGCTTTGGGGACAAGGGAAGTCACCCCTGTGGTTATGGGGAAGCCAGCCGAAGGCTTAGCTCCATCATGATTGCCTCTTAAGGTGGGCTTGTCAAAGAGCACTCTGTCATGCCACATTCGGGGCCCCTCGTCTTGTACAATTTGGTTAGGTGGTCGCCCAGCCCTTTGATGGAGTTCACCTGCTCATTCAGGTAATGCATCTCATTGCATTGCAATGTGAATCACACAAGGGGAATTTTTTTTTATCAGGGGCCAGTTTGTGCAGTTCCAGGAGTAACTGATTAACGCTTTTTTTCCACTGTAACGCACACTCCATTGCATCTAGCCCGTTCGCCCAGTCGTCACGGTCTGTCTTCTTGATATCCTGAAGGAAGATTCGGCCACCTCGTTGGTTCTGCAGCTTCATAATTTTCTCAGCATGTTGTTCTTTCCTCATGAGATTGGTTAAGAAAATATTTAGCAAAGTTGTTCAAAGTCACATTATCACAGTCCAAGCGCTAAGACATGGACTGGTAGACGGAAGAGGTGTACAGCTCCAGACTCACGGCGTTCTAAATGCTTGTCTTTGGGATAACTGGTCTGTGTGTGAGATACCTTAATGCTGATGTCAAAACTAGTGTTTTCTATCTTCTATCTCTAGTTAAAATATTTTTCACAGCAGGGTTCTTTTTACTTTGCTTTCACCTCCTGTGTGAGGAGGCTATACAGCAGAAGCTCCTTACTCTCTTGAGATAGCTGGAAATGACTATAGGACCTTTCTCTTTCAAGAAGAGATGGGGTTGCATGGGCCCGGCTTTTCCACAATGACTTTACACCATGTCCACTTCAGGAATGAGAGTGGCCATGTGAATTTTTCAACCATCTACAGGAATTCAGAGCCGTGGAAGGGTCAGCTCTTTTCAGACCACTTCACTGGGTAATACAGAAGTGGCTTTAGCTAAAGCAGGTTATAGGATTCTATGGAATGTAGCACCACTTACGAAGCTCGCGACATTGGTAGCAAGCTGAAGCTTCCTAAACCTTGGAATTCCTTTGGGAAGGAAAATGTCTAAGCTGGCAGTTGAATGGTGATCACAGGGATTGGCTTGTGACACAGAATCCCTTTTCTGTAGGTGGAGTGAGTTGTTTTTAAAGATATTAACTGTTCCCCAGGCCCTCAATGATCTGACATAATGAGGGGCGAGGAAAGCAATAAAAACACATCACAGAACTTTTGTAAAGTTTCCTTCTAGTTATGGATTCCAACCTTCTCTTTCCCATTGCCCCCAGCCCCATACCCCACCTTTTTCAGCAGAGATTTGCTTGCAAAATGTACATTTTAAGTGGTCAGATATTTTACTTCCTTTCTTTTGCTCTGCTGGGAATACCCGGTGAATGCCTGAGTCCCGTGGTGGCCTCTTTCAAGATTTGGTGTCAGTGCTTTCTTCTCTCCTGAACCTTTTAACCTGTCCAGAGGGACACTTCCTGCCTCATTCCCAATGCAGTTCACTCAGAGCTCTTTTCTGGAAGGTGTTACTTTTTACCTTATACTGCAATTATTCTTTTATTCATTCAACAAATATATATTATGTAAATGTCTTGTTTCCCCTACAGGACAGAGGTTTCCTTGAGGGCACAGTCTATGCCTATTTCATCTTCTATGCTTCATAGCACTTTCTCTTAATTTGGTACTAAAAAAAGAAAAAGGAAAAAAAACTCTTGCTGAATGAATATGGGAGCTGAAAGAGAGAGTAGAATTCACCCAGAATACCCGCGCACCCACACCCCCCACACACTCATGCTTTAAATCTGGTAGTTTGATGATCACACCCAGTAAGTGATTGACTATGGGAAAACAGTCCAACAGGTTTGATTGAACTTAGTGTTGGTTACTTGCTTGCTTCACAGACCTGATACCCAGAGCTTCTGAACCAGTGTGCCAAGAATGAGCTGCATGTTAACTCTGAGACACTGACACCCTCAGCCCTAGGGTGCTGAGTGGGGCCTGACACTTGCTGAGCACCTCCCTCCTTCTGTCAAACTGGTCAATCCTGGCTCCAAGCAGCTTCATCCAGTTACCCCAGTGTGTCATACAAATGCAGTAATTTGCACGTGTTCGTGACATGAGAAAGCCGAAGCTCTAGGTCAGGCTGAAGCACTAAGCCAATAGTTATCTATGGGATAGAAATAAATTGATAGACTTTTTAAAAAGTCTTTTCGAGGCTCCAATTCACTAGGATTTATACCTACCTTTCAAACACCTATAGAGTCTTGGTTCAAATAGTAGACCCAAAAAATGATGGTATTAGTGAGGACCTTGAGAGGTTACCTTTGTTCAACTTCTTCAGATGACCTTGAGGGTAGAAGGTCAGTATCACAGCTTTTATGACATGTGATGAAGCCATGTGGCGACAAGTTCTTGTCACCATCTATCTTAACCCTAATACTGATCATGTTATGAGACATCTGCTAAAAGAATTTGCTGTAAAAATTAGTGAGATAGTCTTAGGACTGAAAAAAAGGCCATGGAATCTCTTAGCTCTTTCTAAGGGGGATGCAAGATTTGGTCATGAAGAAGTCAGTTGTTTCCACATGAAGAATACACCTTAATTTGCATTTAAATTAGTTTAAATTACATTTAAATTAATTTGCATTTAAATTAAGAATGCCTTAATTTGCATTTACCTATTAATTTTTCTCTCTATTACCACTCCCAATTTTTAGGGTCTCATGTGTTAGGTAAAATAAAGTGGGAACTCTATGCCTTTACTGACAGTCAGGAGGCTTCAGTCTGGAAAAATTTCCCCAAAAAAGGGTGAAATCAAGGTTTTGAAATAACAGGTGAGGAAACAAAAAGTTTCTGTTCGAGTTTAAGAAAGTTGTTCAAACCTGTAGTGCTGGCTTGTGCTCCCATCAGAGGGTTTGTTTGCAATTGTGGGAACCTGTGTTTGGAAAATCATAAAGTGTATTGACAGAAAATTTGGCCTGATACCTTCTAATCTTATGTAAAACCTGAACCCAAGTGTGTGTGTTTTTTTTAAAACTACTTTATTGAGGTATGATTCACACACAAACAGCTGAAGTATTTAGTGTATACAATCTGGTGAGTTTGGAATTAAGGATATGTCCATCACCATAATCTATGCCATTAACTGGGTGTGTGATTTATGGTAAGGTTTCAAACAAATATGAATTTATATCAAGAAAATTCTAGGGGCTGGCCCCGTGGCATAGTGGTTAAGTTCAGCACATTCGCCTTTGGTGGCCCAGGTTTGCAGGTTTGGATCCCAAGCATGGACCTACACCACTTGTCAGCCATGCTGTGGTGGTGACCCACATGCAAAGTGGAGGAAGATTGGCATGGATGTTATTAGCTCAGGGCTAATATTCCTCAACAACAACAAAAAGAAGATAATACAAATGGCCAATAAGCATGAGAAAAGATGCTCGACATCACTGATCATTAGGGAAACTCAAATCAAAACTACAATGAGATACCACCTCACACTCATTAGGAAGGCTACTGTAAAAAAAGAAAAATCTAGAATCAATTTTTCCCTTATCACAGAGCATGATAAACCTGAATACAAATTTTAAATGTTCAGATCACCAGGAAAAATGGCCCTGTTAAATTTTTTAACCAAGTTCCTGGATAAAAGCAGAATATTTTATTTTATTTTTAAATTTCATATGTGGCAAATGCTTGGTAGAATAAAAAACTTCAAGAAATACAGAAATGTGAAAAGTGAATGTGCTCTATTTTTTTTTACTGTTACCGCCATGTCACGGAGGTAACCACTGTTGACAGAGAATTTAAGCATCTTAATTAAGTATATTCAAGGTAAAATAAGGAAATTGCTATCTATTTCTAAATCTCTGGATTCAGTTTCAACAGCCAATATGTACATTGTTCACCTTTTTACTAGTGTCTCAACTTCAGAATATTTGCTAGTTTTTAGACCTTAACAGTTAGTCTTTCCTTCTTTATACGACAAAATGTAGAATAGAAGAGCTAAGCTACTACAACCAGCTTGTTAAGTCGGAAACCTAAAGTCAGACCACTCACTCTTTACCAGATAGTTTTATCTCACAAATGAAGAATGAATGCAGAAATTGACCTTATTTTGAAAATTGTTGTTTCAAGCAGCTGTTTTCCATTTTCCTCCCTTTTTTAAAGGAAAGAAGAAAATTGTCTTAAGATTAGAGAATTGGGACTTCTTAACACCTGCTCTAGTCCTGAGATAAAGGCATTTGTGTATTAAGGAAAAAGGCATCTTGATGCTTTGTTGGTGTGGCTCTGCAGTCGATCGGCATCAGTGGATTCACTGGAATGCTGTGGGGTATTATGAAAACTTTTAGCATGCAAAAATACTTTGATACACACGACTCTAATTTTTATACTAATCCCCAATTATGGATATTTATTTTAATGTATCTTTTCCTTAATTGTTCTCATTTCAACCAAGATTTATGGATGTAAGGACAATTTAGCAGGACTTCTTGAAATCCTAGAATGGTAGCAAGAAAGAGGTGTTTCAATGCAGATTTTCTTTGGGCTCTGTAATATTAGGGAATCACGTGGTTTTTAGCCTGATTATGAGATAGAGATGAGTTACTTCATTCAGTTTTCTTTTTTTATACTATTGTTCCTTCTCCTTGACATGCCAATTAGATTGCAAAGTGTTATTTACTACTACGTGACTTCATTCTCCTGTGCCCAAGTCGTTTTCTGAGGTTGATTTGCTATATTAATATGTCCGGCTTAGAGAGCTCCTTGTAAGTTCTCACTGGCCAAATAACCTAAGTGAGGCTGCCCGTGGAGGAGCTCCTGAGAAAGGCTGACATTTCCCAGGTGACGGGTCCATGCAG